ATCTCTTTGAAATGCCTGTTTCTCACTGCAGGTAAAAAATTTTTTGAAGTACTGAGACTGACAACACAGTGATGTGAATTTTCATTATTTTATGAGTGACTGGTACCAGCAAATGAAAGACATCCTAATGTCATACTTTTGGTAGCTGGAATGAGAAAACTGGCTTTATGGTATAAATTTTCACACACCTGATTAGACAATCTACCCATTTTCAGCAAACCAAATTAAAATGTGCCAACACAGGGTATGCGATTATTGCATACATGTAGGAATGGGAGTTACATGCCAGCAATATTCTACACAGGAATTAAGATGAACTAAAGCCAAATCTTTTTCTAGCTCAGAAAAACAGATTGCTTTATCCAAGGCCCAAGAAAATGCCCATTCTAAGATTATATATAATCCATAGCATTGCACATTCACTTGGATACACCTCACAGGAAAAGAAGTCTCTCTGTTGAGTTAGATGCATGTCAGGATTTAACTTGGGAGTGTGCCATGGTGCCCCTCCTTCAACACTGAAGTGATTTCTTCAGCAACTTAGTATTTGTGAGAAGGGAGATGTTACCTCAAGTGAGTTAAATGTTCTGACCTGAAGAAACTGCCAAAATCATGAGACCTTTTTTCCTGGAAGCTTCCTAGATCTGGCTTTTGTTTGCCTGTTCCTTAGAAATTGTAATCATAGAAATCTTACAATGTCATTAAAACAACACTATGAATGAAAATGCAAAAACTGTCCAGGTAATAGCTGCAAGGCACTGAAAGCTTGAATCTCAGAAAGAACAATACCCCCCAAGTGTGTGCATGTGTGTGTGTGTCCTGCTTTCCTGGGAGTGCTTTGCAGCTCCTCACTGTCACCACTCCTAAGTTGTTTTCAGTAGCTCTGGAGCCCAGTGGAAAGAAGAGCAAGTGTATAGAACCACCCAGGGGAACTTCTTTGACCTTGGTCTCAGGTTCAAATCTTACCTCATTTTAGAGTCACTGTGCTCTACTCTACAGCAAGTTACTCATGGACATCACACCAGCATTCATAATTTAATATAGACAAACATCACAATTATATTGAATAAAGAACCAGGTGTGTCCCAGGGTACTTATATGTCTTCTTTCCATTTGAAACCCAAACTGGTTTGCTTCATCTCTGGCATCATGTATTCAATGAACTGCTATCATCACAGAAACCACTGGCTCATGGTCTTGACTGTCAGATCAACATGTATTAACACATCAATTAGCCCTTCATCTATGCTGATTTTTATGATTGTAAATCTTATAGACTTGAATATGCTATTGCAGTAGCTAAAACCTATACATAGGTTCTACTTCATACTCTTAATAACTATCAACATGATGAGATACCTAGTGCCCCACCAAATCCAAGTATATCATATACTGTGCACAACCTTGACCCTTAGCAGAAGTCCCTTTTGCCTCACTACTGATAACTGATCTAGTAATATTGTTTCAGTATTATTCAATAATTCTCCTGTCTTTAGATTTAATAAAAAATGAATCAAACACGGGGGAGTTTTTGTTCATTTGTTAATTTCCTAACAGTTTTTCTTTACATGATCTATGTTCTTAGATTATATGTCTTTGTTTATGTTTAGAGAACTTTCAACAATTTACAAAATTCAGATACTGGTAACACATTCTGTGAATTTTAAAATATTTTCCTTCTCTTCTGGCTGTACAATTTCATTCACTTTCAGGTTGATTCTTTGTTCTTCTTGTTCTTGTCCTCTGTTGAGCACCTAAGTGATAGTTTCATTGAACTTCTTGTATCTCCATCTTTATAATTTCTATATAATCCATTGATGATTTCTCAGTCTGTACTGATATTAACTTCTGTGTACATAGTATTTCCACTTTGCTGTTTCTTCAACATGCTTGCCTACAATCCTCTGATTCTACTTTAGACTGTCCCAAGAATGTCTTTGTGAAATGAATCTGTTGCCTATGGTTTTTCACCATTCAATATTCTCATTGTCAAAATAAAATTTTGGACCTAAGGCCCAAGCTCCTTAGTTGTATCATTCTACTTCCAGCTAATTGCCCTTCAATTTCAATGAAAGAAGCAGGGAAAGGAGAATTATGACACAGCTAGGGATATGCTGTGAGATGAAGCATATCAGTGTAAGCACTGAGCTCATGCTCATCATATGCAGGTTACGGACATGAAATTGGCAAAGATTGAAATAGGGAAAGAACAAGGGGCAGTATTCAAAGGTATGCATAGGTAAAGGGTTCCAGTCACAGGTGTGGTCTAGTTGTTATCACTCAGCTGTAGTTCTGGGAGAGGTTCTGGATTTGTTATCCAAAAGATGGTCCTTCCAAAGGAGGGTCTACTGTTGGGAGTAGATTTGGTTTCAGGTCATGAAGAAAATACCTATCTTCTCCTTCCTAGATTCCAGTGGGGCTGCATGGTGACTGCCAAGAATGGCTCAGAGAATAGACTGATTGTAAATGAAGAGATGCCATGTTTTTTCCTGATTTTAGTTGATGGACTGAGTATGGAGTCCATGCTTTTTAGCAAAAGCAGTCTGAGGAACTTCTACAATGCTTTCTGTCTGACGATCCACATTTCCCTGTCTCATCATATTTGTTGTTATTTGTTTCTTGTGTGTGAACAGTGAATACGGTATTATTTTCATGCACAGTTTTTCCATTTTCCTGGCCTGGCCTAGAACTACAATTTTCCTGAGATCATAGGAGATTTGTCCCCATGGGAAAATGTGTGTGAAATTCTCTCAGCATATTCTAGGCTCCATTTCCCAGTTGAAGAACAAGGGTCCATTCTGAAAAGCAGGTTCTGCTTAACTACAATGAGTCCCCAAGCCAGACCAGGTAGGGACCAGGGAGGAGGCCTAAACTGCTGAGGGCTGTTGCTGGGTTCAATTATTTTGTAATTGCTCTCCCCCAGGTAAGAGATCACTTCCTCTGTTTCTCAGATCTCAAGGGGTGGGTTCTGGATCCCTAGCCAGTGAGAACTACATGGGAAGTGGTGAATCACAGGCTGGTCTAAGGAGGACCCTCTGCTTATTACAGGAAATGACTTCCAGTCTCTACCATTTTGGTGTGATAGTTACAGCTTCTCATCTACCTAGTAACTGTGCTTGCTTATTGGTATTTTCTTCATTTCTTTCTTTTTTTTTGCAGAACTGGGGCTTGAAGTCAGGGTGTACTCCTTGAATCACTCTGCCTTCCTTTTTTTGTGAATTACTTTGTTAAGACATGGTCTCACAATCCATTTGCCTGGTCTGGCTTCAAAACATGACCCTCCTGATCTCTTCTTACTGAGTAGCTAGGTTTATAGATGTGAGCCATTCACATCCTGGTTGTTCTTACTTTCTTGACTGATGATGGGTAGATTGAAGGAATAGGTGTGAGAAATCCTTGTCCATATTGATAAGTAACTGATACTAACATACTGTGACCACACCAGGCCTTTTTTACTATTCTACTGAAGTTTCACTTGCCCTGTCCTGCAAGTAGGTCCTTCTCTGTGAAAACAGTGGCTATATCCTTAGATGCTGAGTGTTGAGTATTCTAAGCAGACTCCTGGCCCCATTTCCACGTGAAAGCAACAGAGTTCTTTAGAAAAGCAAGGTGCAGGTTCTGCTTAAATACAATGCATCCCCACGTGGGGGAACATAAGGTCCAGGGAGGAGGCCTGGTCTCCTAAGGTCTGTGCCTGGAATCACTTACAGGACCTGCATTTTGCCAGGTGGGGTATCACTTCTCCTGTCACAGAGATCTAAGGTGACAGGGCCCAGATTCAGTAGCCAATGAAAATTGCTTAGGAAAAAACTGTACAGGCTGACCAATCATAATCCAATGGGAGGAACGACTAGCATCTAATCCTTGGAAAATGACTTTCTGGTTCCCATCATTTTCTGAATTACTGAGGTTTCTTTTGATATGGATGCTGTGGGATTCAATCTCATTCCCACTACATGTGTGCTCCACTAGATTGGAGGTCAGAAGCCAATCATCATAAAAGGCCAAAGTCGTGTTTGTGACTAGTGTCCTCTCAGGAAGATGAGGATATTGCACCTGCTTGAAACAGTTGTAGAGACCTTGTCCTCTGTAGCACAGAGCTGGAGTCTGATGCCTTAGTTGCAAGGAGTACCTTGTGGCCCTCCATCCTAAATATAGGGTGTGGATTTGCAAAGATGAGCAGGACCCTGTTATCATGTGCTCTACCTCTGAGTTACCTCATCTATCCTGGAGCCCTTGATTCTTTCCCCAAATGAGGTGATGGTGGGAGGTAGTAGGTTCCTAGCTGAGAAGCTATGATCATTGGTGTCCCCACTCCCTCCAAAATTCTCAGGGTAAAATTGATGATTCTGAAGTATGTAAAAATGTGGAAGCAGGGTTTTAAATGCACATCCAGATCCCAGACATGTGCTACTTAGGGTTTTAGGAAATTCCTAAATTTACAGAGAGCTCACATTGCACAACTTACTGCAATGGTGGTGCACTTACACTTGGGTATCAAATGGGAGGGTTGAGATTGGAAACTTATCATGAGCATAATTGATGTTTTCTTTGCCCTGTGTCTACACAGCATTTTCCAAATATGAAAAGAAGATTGAGGCAAGATATGAACACAGGGTCTCAGTGTCAAGAAAACCCCAAAAACAGAGTGCAGGTATCTCAAAGAAAGGCTATTTTTTCAAAAGTGGTAAAGAGGACCAAAACGTAGTATAAAGAAGCTGAGAGATAATGGGTAATAGGGACCCTTAAATTAGGTTGTGAACCAAAGATCCTTGGCCTTGAGATTGTGTTTCATGTAATAATAAAGGAAGAGTTGATGTAGTGACTCAGGCTGAGGATGAGTCAGAGACTTCCTGGGAAGACTATAGAATTTCATTAGGATACTTTATATAGTTAAGATTCTTTTTCAGATGATCAAGTAAGATGATGAATTTGAGGTGGATCGTGGAAGAATGAAAAATGTGAGCTTCCCTTGTTGGGCATCTAAGAATAATGGGAACATGAATGATGGTGGGGTGGTAATCTTAACCACTGGTGTTGCCAAGATTACTTTGCTTAGGTAAGTTTTCAGTTGCTTGTGTTTTCATTCATATAATTTGTCTAGTCACAATATAATTTGTGACAATTGAGGAAGCCTGTCATAGACCATGTTAAAGTCAGAGACCTTTAGGATCTCCAGCTAAAAGAAAGGATTTATTCACTTGAGAGGTTATTTTCTTTGGTGATATATTTAAAAAACTGCATTTGTTGTTCATCACAAGTTCTGGCACAGAATTACTAAAACTCTTAATATACCTTGAACAAGAGGAACAACTTTGATTGTTATCCTTTGCTCCTTTAAGTGGTATCTACACAAATGCTAGTTAGGTGGTACATGCTACCATCCAAGATAAACAAGGGTCCCTCAAACCGTGATCCTTCTGACTTCAGCCTCCGAAGTACTTAGTATGGCAAGTGTGAGCCATCAGGGTCTAAAAAGTTCTTCCTTCTGTATTGTGTATTGTAATCATCTTTTACCTTGGAAATAGAAGTAGCCATTGCTGGAAAGTTACTGATTAGTGGTTTGAAGTAGGAAGATAACACTAGGAGGAAGGCAATCTTAGGTAATCTTATATTAATATAGGTTCATTAAAACTTGAATTTGTTTTGTTTATGTCTTTTTTGTTTGTATCATTTACTTTAATTTTTCCAGTACTTTGAATAGACTGTATGGCCCAATCCCCAAAAATAACGAGAGCAAAAAGACTTGAAGTATTCAGATTTTATCTTTCCTATTTCCCATGGAATTGGATCATTGTCCATGATATTGGAGAATATATTATGTGTTTTCAAGGAGGAACTGGGGTCCAGATTTTTTGCTTTTAGCCACCATTGTATGATGTGTTTTCTGTCATCAATCAATTTTCTCTTACTTCAACATCAAAGGAAGACTGGTTCCCATTTCTCTGAGGTCTGTTTGTTAAACCCTTTCTCATAGTACAGTGTCCTTGATAATGTAGTTGGAGCATTATTTATATAACATGATAGGACACTTTGTGTTCTTTCCTTTGCACTCTTCCATTCTTCTTCTTCATTATTCTTCCTTTTCTGATAGTGGTTCTTGCTATGTAGATCAGTCCAGTGTTTAACCTGTGATCGTTCTGGTGGAATTCCAAGGTTAGGCCTCCACAAGTGGGTCAAGGGATCACTTTCTTATTCCAATTATTTTTTATTGCTGTGTGCAATTTATGATACTGATTACACTTTGAAAAGTTGTTTTGTTCATGAGTTTTAAGGTGTATTTTTGAAATTCCAAAATTGTATACGCCTTTGTTGATGTGATGACTTGTTGAAATCTATCTATTTCTAGGGACACTTGCCACATTTCTCCTTTCTACACTGTGTTTTTGCATGCTAAAGCAAAAACTAACTTTATCTGAGTGGTACTTCATGAATCTTATTTAGCTTTAACTTTGGGTCGGTCTGTAAGAAACCAGGTAGAAGCTTCCAAGTGTCTCTTCATACAGTCATCAAGGAGGTGCTCAATTAAAAAAAAAAAACACAAAATTACTGTTTACAAAACAGAATACTGTTTGTCATACTAACTCTCTATTCATAACAATGAGTGCATTGTGGGTTATCTTACTACAAACTCCTTCTGGTGAACATTGCAGAAATGTGCAAATAATGATAAATAGTATGTATACAGTAAGATTATTGGAATAAATTGCTTCAGGACACTCTCCCCTTTTTACACTTAATATTTGGTTTGGTGAGGTTCATCTCATTAGCAGTTCTGCAATGCCAGTAGACATGAAACTTTTACTCATGTATTAAAAGCATGATTTCTGCAGTCTATTTTCACCTGATATTCCTGTAATGGAAATTAAGAAGGAAATTGTCAATAGATTGCTACAATATCAGTGTATAAAATGTAATTTTTGTGACCATGCTCTACTTTGGATTTAAGAAATTGGTCCAGTGAGATATCAGAATTATCATGAAGTGCCTCTGAGTATAGATGGAGAATGAGAGTGTGATAAAAATAAAATGCATTGAATATGTGGAGACCACAGTACCATGTGAACTTATTACACAGAGACTGTGTGTTTCCACTACTGTGACACTCACAATTCTTCTCACAAATGTGTGTGGGACAAATTAGGAGCCCCTGACTGTTGAGGATGTTGCTGTGAACTTCACCCTAGAAGAATGGGGCTGCTTGAATCCTTCCCAAAAGAAGCTCTACAGAGAAGTGATGCTAGAAATCTATAGCAACCTGTCCTACATAGGTAAATATGGCATCATTACCTTATAAAAACTCTACAGTAGTGTTTTGACTCATTGGCATTGTTGCTTCATGGGGTGTTTAAAAAAGGACAGTAATGGTTCATATACATGCATGATCATATTATACCATGAAAATAGCTGAAGTTCCAAATTGTTCTTTCACATTGATTGCATACTAATTATTTCTCTGTGTCTATACCTTACAAACAAAAGAAGAAAATGAAAATATCGAAGAGGACTTCAGCAATCCCAGAAGAAATATGAGGTAATTTGTACTCATGACCAAAATAGTGGACATCAGGTGTTGCATTGACAAAAGATTTGGTAACCATGGAAATGAGACCGCAACTTCTACTTATAAATTTCTGAAATCAGTGAAAACTTTCTCTAAGTTCAGAAAAATAAGTTAGCAATCCAGAATCAAAAAATTCAAACTCAAATATGTGCCATAATTCTTAATGTATTTTGTCCTAAGAAGTCACAAGAGACACTACCCTATTACTCAATATATAAAAATCAGCCCACTCTGTACAAAAACCAATTTAACTATATTACATCCAGTTCTGTCCCAGTGAGATTACCATGTGCACTGGTATAGACTGGAACATTTTCAACCTATGTCCTCATGTTCTTTCTTGTATTTCACAACATGCTTTTGATCCAAGGCATCTCAATAAGCACTTTAAGTGTATTTCAGTGTAGTAAAACTCATTCAGTTTTGTCAAACACCTAACATGGAAATGGTATTATGGAAATAAATATGAACACCACTATATCAGTAAAAGCTGTCCTCAGGCCCTGCTGCATAACATGTAGTACATTTGTGTTCATAAATCCTGCAGAAACAAACACCATAAATTCTCTTAATAAATCATTAATAGAATAACAAGGATAATCTTTTTCTGTTTTGCAGACCTGAAGTGTTAGAGAGACTGCATGAGCATAAACAACATATTCAATGTGGAGAATCCTTTCTCCCGACTTCAGAGAATATTGTAACCAAAGAAACTCTGCTTAGAATTGCACCATGGAAAAGCAATATATGTAATTCTTATGGTAAATCCCTCACTGATTGCAAGGCTCTTCTAATCCGTGAAAGGATACACAGTGTAGTGAATTCTCATGGATGGAAACAATGTGGAAAAGCCTGCACTCAATCTGATACCTTTCACATTCATGAAACATCTCACATTAGTGAGAAACCCTATGGATATAAAAAATTGGGGAAAGCCTACACTCATTCCAGTATCCTTCATATTCATGAGAGAATTCACAGTGGAGAAAAATCCTATGGATGTAAGCAATGTGGGAAAGTTTTCACTCAAGCCAGTTACCTTCAAATTCATAAAAGGACTCACACTGGAAAGAAACCATATGGATGTAAGAAATGTGGGAAATTCTTCACCCATGCGTGTTACCTTCGATATCATGAGAGAACTCACACTGGAGTAAAACCCTATGCGTGTAAGCAATGTGGGAAAATTTTTGCTCAGGCAAGTAACCTTCGAATTCATGAAAGAACTCACACTGGAGAGAAACCTTATGGATGTGAGCAGTGTGGAAAAGCCTTTATTCAATCCAGTAATCTTCAGAGACATAGTAGAACTCACACTGGGGAGAAACCCTATGTATGTAAGCATTGTGGGAAAGCTTACCATCATTCCAGTAACCTTCGTATTCATGAAAGAGCTCACACTGGAGAGAAAGTCTATGTATGTAAGCAATGTGGGAAAGTTTTCACACAAGCCAGTTACCTTCGGATTCATGAAAGAACTCACAGTGGAGAGAAACCCTATGGATGTAAGCAGTGTGGGAAAGCCTTTAATCAAGACAGTCATCTTCAGAGACATAGTAGAACTCACAGTGGAGAGAAACCCTATGGATGTAAGCAATGTGGGAAAGCCTATGCTTATTCCAGTAACCTTCGTATTCATGAAAGAACTCACAGTGGAGAGAAACCATATGGATGTAAGCAATGTGGGAAAGCCTTTAATCGAGCCAGTCACCTTCAGAGACATAGTAGAACTCACACTGGAGAGAAACCCTATGATTGTAAGCAATGTGGGAAAGTCTACACTGATTGTAGGAACCTTCGTATTCATGAAAGAACTCATAGTGGAGAGAACACTGTGAAAGTAAGCAGGGTTCAAAAGACTTCAATGGACACATCCACCTTAATGTGGACAGAAGAACTCATGCACAAGTGAAAACTTATGGATATATGCAGTGTAAGGAAGTGTTCACTCATTCCAGTCACCTTTGAAGCCCTGAAGGAACTCACACTGAACACAAACCTTATGGGTGTAACCAATGTGGGGAAAGTGTTCACATGCCCCTCTACCCTTAAAAGACATAAAGGCACTTAGACTGGAGAGACAAGCTGAGGATATGAGCAATTTCCAGTGACATTAACAAATGTGAACTCACTCTGCAGAGAAACTCTATGAATGTAAGGAATTAGAGACAACCTATACTCTATCCAGTATCCTTCATACTCATCAAAGAATGCAAACAGGACAAAGCCAGTAGATGTAAGCAATGTGGAAAGCCTCCCTTAGTTCTTGTACCTCTCATGCACCTGAAAGAACTCATGGTATAAATAAATACTAGTGTCATGCCAAATATGATAAAACATTCACATATCCCTGTCTCAAAAATCATGAATGAACTCAGAAATACTATCAATGTAAGTAATGGAGGAATGCCTTCACATTTTCCAGTAGTCTTCTTTGATATGACACAATTCACATTGTAGCACAATGCTGTACATGTGTGTAGTGTGACTAGGCCTTCACACATTCCACTGCTCCTCCAAAACATACAAAATTAAAAATGGAGACTAACTGGATTAAGAAAGCAATGTGGAAAGTCTTCACTCATTTATTTCCATGACTTCAAACATGAATGTCCACACACTGGAGAGAAAATTATAGGTGTAAGTATAATGAACCTGTCTGTGTTCATTCTATTCACCATCAAACAAATGTAATAATACAATTTGTGACTAACCTTACAGAACCAACATATATGGGAATATATTTTCTCATTTCCATTACCAAAAAATGCGTGTAAGATATCACAGTGGAGTGAAAATCTATATATTGAAGTAATGAGGGAAAGACATCACCTATCATGCTTCCTTTTAGCAACATGAAGGAACTCCATTCTCTCACTCATGACACTGCCCAATTCATGTAACTTTTGTTAATAAGAGCATACCATGTTACCTGCTTTCCTACAGACATATGATGAAAAATGGTGTCAAGAGAACATTTGACTGATGACTTTTGCTTCCAGAGAATGGACTGTACCTCCAAGCCACACATCACAACCAGTGTGTTTTCTCCTAGTTATTTTGGAACAAGGGCCTGTGAACTCTTTGCCTAGAATGACCTCCAATCATGGTCCTCCTGGCGTACCCTCTCAAGTACTGAGATTACTGGCCTGAGCCATTAGCAATTGGCTTAAAATTTCTTAGAGATCTGTTGAGTATGTTTGTCCAATTTTTTCTCTAGAAACAGTATTTATGCTTCTTATTCTGATACCAGCCAGTGAAAACAGCCAGATGGAATCCTGCATCAATAGACTTGCTTAAGTGCTGGAAGGAGTGGCTTAAGAATTTCTTTTATGTTGGACTGGAATTTGGACTCAGCACCACATGCTTGCTGCCCAGGTTTTCTACCAATTAAGACACATTGCCAGCCCTTTGTGTATCTTTTTGATTGTGACTTTAATATGCTGTACATTTTATAGTGAGACAGTGGCTTATTTAACTGGATATGTATAATAGGCTGACTTTGAATTTAGGATGTTCCAACCTTTGTTTTCCAAATCCTGGCATGAAAAACATGTGAAATGATATTTGTGAATGGTTTAGATTTTATATATCTTGTTTCCCATTACAATTTGCATATTGTCCAAGACATAGACAACGATAGAAAGCATGTTTTCAAGTAGAACTTGGATTTATCCTTTTATCATATTTTAAAGTGTTTATTGATTTGGCCACCATTGTATGATGCCTGTTCTGTCAAGAATCAATTTTCTCTTTACATTGAAATCTAGTGAGGACTCCTTTGATTTCCACTGATATCTATTTCTTAATCTCTTTAGAAATATAAAGATATAAAATCTCTTTATATAGCACATTTAATAGTACAGTTTCAAGATTTCTTAATATTAGACTATACATCACTTGTTATTCTCTTCTTTCTCTTGCCCTTTCTTCTTTTCTTGTCATTCTTTTTTCAAGATTATTGCTGTGTAGACCCCTCCAATGCTTAATCCATAATCTTTCTGTTGGATTTACAATTTGGGCCTCTTTTTTGTCCCAAAGGAACAAAAATTTGGGCCTTATTGTGAGAATAGAGGATCAGTTTCTTTGTTTCCTTTTTCTTTTTTTTTTCTGGTCTTGGGATTTGAACTCAGACCTTTTTGCCACCCACGCATATAGTGTACCCTATGACCCACCCCTTTTTTGTGTGTTAAGTATTTTTAAGGTAGGCTCCTTCAAAGTGTGTCAAACATAATCCTCCTGATTGCTCCTCTTCGGCAGCTAGGATTAAGGTTTGAGCTATTAGTGCCCAGGTCTGGGGATTGCTTTCTTTTTCCAGTGAATTGAAATGCCTTAAGGCATTTATTCTACATAATATAATTTGTAAAGTGGATTTTGCTCCATAGCTTACACTGTATTGGTGGAATTAGAGAGTTGCAAACATCCATGAGAACCAGGATAACTCAGAGTAAATACAGTCAGTTAGGCACAAAAAACTACTCCTTCTCCTTGATAGGGAAATATGAGAAATAGGACAAAAAATATAGCCATATTATTTTCTTTTAAAAAATGCTTATTGGCAATGCTATACAAAAATGCTAAGAGGCATATGGAGGAATGACCTCAGTAAACAGCACATGTGATCAAACTTCTTCACAAGATAAAGGGCATATTAGAAGAGTGTTAGGGATTTTTGAGGTCACTGCTTGGTAAAACAATTTACAAAGAAATGAGCATAGGGTAAGCCAGAGATTTATTTGGTAAGCAATGAGGAACTAACCAAATGGTTGCAACACAGTAGTGGCATTGTTGGTCACCATCTCAGGCCCTGTTCTGGGAGAGTTTCCAGAGTTCTAATCTGCAAGGTATTCCACCTAAGCCATTTAAGTCTAAGTCATAAGTCCTTGTTATTTAAGTCTCAAAGTAGAAATGCCTTTATCAAATAGAACACAACATCATTAAAAGTCAGAATACTTCTAGTTCAATAGACTGTGCAGGTGAAAATAACTCCATGAGTATGGACCAAAAAAAAAAATAATAATTTGTCTTTACTTAAATAGAAGGGCTTGGCAAAAATAAGAGTTTGCCATCTATCAGAGGTCCCAGTAAGGGCTTGACTGTCTACTATCCCTATGTAAGATCAGTTCTTTAAAACCTCTTGGCTTTAGTAAGCTCTTGAAGTCTGGCACAAGTGACTCCATCTAAATTGGGACAGCTCTCCCCTCTTGTCTCCAAACTGACTGAGAAGAGCCTCCTCTGACTTTTTCCCTTTAACTTTTCCCCCAGAATACATACTCATTACCTTTCTATATTCTTTCTGATTATTGATTTGTTGACTTTGTAACCTGTATTTTTTAAATGATTTTATAAGAATTTTAAATTTAAATATTTTTCTTCCAGTTACACTTATATTTGTATTATGCACACCCTTGAAGAAAGGCAATTTAAATCTGTTTATAAGTAACTTAAAAACACTTTTGTTAATCTTATTATGAAAGAATTGAATGTAAATTACACTCATGACAAAATAAAAAACAGATTGAGGTTACTGTCCAAAAAAACCCCTGTGTTTTAGTTAGACTTGTTAGGCATAAAACTTTGAAAAACTTTTATTTAAAGTAGCAGCAGAAGTGGTGGAGAGAACAGCAAACTTTCATTTCTTGGCATTAAACCAATAATAAGAATCATCCTAAAGATGTAGAAACACATGCATATGCAGGAAAGTTTTAAATTAGCCATCCACAAATATCAACTTCAGCATGCATTCAGTTCAAGAACATGTAAAAATTAACTAAGTGGCCACAAGTACAATGATCTCTTATTTAAAAAGTTTTAGGAGCAGATTGAGATGTTTCCCGTGCTGATCTTTTAGGAATCATTTCGGTTAGCTTGATATCTAAAGCAAGATTCAATTCTAGGAATGTGTTTTGGTTCACTTTCAGTCTCCAATAAGACTGTTACCATAGCTATCAGATTTTTGTATCTAATATGTGAATCATACAACACACATACACAGAATTCACTCAATGACACAGTAAACAATAACATTTATTCTGAGTGCACTCAAAGATAGTGAGGGCTTTACTTTTGCCCTAGGGTTTTTTTTTTTTATAATCTCTAATAATAATTTCCCTTGGGCTACAGTAGCTTACATTGGGCTACCATACCTTTGTTATTAGGCAAACATTTGAAGTAAATTTAGGGAGCCTATCCTTGAGTGTAGGGTTGGCACCCCATATACTTGTCTGGACAAAGGATATAGGATGCACAAGTAGGACATATAATTTCACAGTAAATTTTTTAAAATTGGAATTTGTATGACAGGCTGAAAAAAGGGAAGACTTATGGTAAAAAGGATTGTATCTGCATTGATACAAGGAATTGTAAAAGGAAGAGTGAATTAATTCATGAAGAGTTAATCTTAGGTAAGGGGCCTGTTGATACATATCCAAATGGCTTATTGAATCCATAGCAGAAATCAACAGTGCTTTCCTTTTGCCTTTCAGCTAATGCCATAACCTAGAAAACTGAGATTTTAATTTAAATACTTTGCATATTTTTAGACATAACATTAAAATTTTGTCTTTTGTCTTTCCTGACTGTGTGCAAGTGAGGCTGAGGGCATGGGTCCACAATCCAAACATATGGTACCTTAGCAAAGAGAACACATGGGCCAACCCTGGGTCACCCCCTGCAGTAACCTGGATATGGCCTCTACCCTCTGCTGGTCTGGACATATCTGCAATGGAAAACAGCCTTTCTCAAAAGCAAGACTTAAAGGAGAAAAGCTGTTAGTGTGTTCAGGCACATTTAGAGGCTTAATTTTATGTGGAAGATCAGGAGGTCTGTACAGAAAAGTAGCTCCAGTCATCAGCCAGATGTCATTTAGATTTGCAATTGATCTCATGTTTGCAGTTCTGGGACGATGTAAATCACTGAAAAGTCTGAGAGAACTGACTTGACCAGAATTTTCCATTCCATTTCTCCTTTGTCCATTTCTTTCTCTGTTGTCCTCACACAGATGGCTGCCTGGGAGAGGAGACATGTGCAGACTATAGAGTAGGAAGGGTAAAAGTAACCTCCATAATGGCT